TTACAGGAAAATCTAACTTAATGAGGCTTCGGTTTCCTCAACTGTATCATGGACTTATTAAACACGTTTAACTTGAAGAGTTGTAAGGACTGAGATACTGAATGGAAGGCCCTTGGCACAGAGCCTCTCACCTAGGACACTCAATAGCTGTTATTTTTATGGCTCCAATCATTATTATTATTTTTCTGGCTCTCACCCGAACTTGCTATTGCAGACTTCCAGGCCCCTGGTAATCTCACCTACCTATTCTGAGCATAGGGAGCATAGGAAGGAAGAATAGGCACTCTTGGTGAAGATCTACTCCTGCACAACAGATCCATGCAGGAAGCTGTGTGACTCCTCTGTATTAATCCTGCCAGTGCCGGAAAAGTGGTAATCCCCTCCTCCAACACTCTACCACCCTTCCATCCTCTGAGCATGGCCCCAGTGCACACGGCCACCCTGAGGCACGGCCACCCCGTATCTTCCTGCCACTTGAGTCCTGGGTATTTCCAATGTACAACTGTTCTTGATGTGCCAAAGGAACACTGAATTCTGTGCCAAAATGAGGAGAATGTTTTGCCACCATCTGTTACATTACATTTGTGACATAGACACAAAAATGGTTTGGCCCTGTCGCCCAACATTTTATAGGGTTTTTACTGTCTGGGAAGTAGAGGTTAAGGTTGTAGGTTGGGGAAATATCTGAATGACTGAAAGCGTTCTTCTATTAGAACCACTCCTTTTTTTTTTTTTTTTAAGAACCACTCTTTCCTTTTTTCCGATAACAGAGTCAGATCACTAGACATAGTCAATTTGTTTGTTTTGTTCTTCCCTTAGAGACAAAGTCACTCTAGTTGGCATCCCCAAACATTCCCACCCAAGTTCTATGCACAGTGAACGCAAACTCTGTGTGCCTGGGAACAGGGCCAAAAATGGCCTGACATGAAAGCTAAATCTATTTGGTGTTTCATCTTTTATCTTAGGGGGAAAAAAACCATATGAATTTGGCATCCTCTCCGTAGTATTATGTTAATATAAAATAATGGCGTTATTCCTCTGGATTTTTTAGTCCATTTCATGACTTTTGGGTACCCCCTGGAATACCTCACCAAACTCAAGAGGACTCATATCCCATGTCACGATCCCAGATCAGCCTTGGAATAAATGAGTTCTCTCTCAGGAGACTCCTCCTTTGGTAGAACCTGGTAGAAATAGATTTCTGGCATATTCTTCCTACTCATTTGTCCAACATGCCCTGACGTGGCCAAATCCCAGCATAAACACAACTTACAATTAAATGTGCCTCTTCTATCCCCCAACAGATCCCAGCCATGCCTCAGAGACATCATCAAGAACCTTCGTTTTTATCCTGTCATCTGCCTGTGCATTTGCCAGTGAAATGTGAGGTTTTGTTGGCTGACTAGTCAAAAGCAGAAGGTTTGCTGTGCATGACTACTGATGGCAACCACATTTCTTCGAAGCGTGGACATGCCCAGGGAAACATTTGACAAATGTGTCTTAAAGGCAATGCCTCGCATGGCAGTGTAGCCTTATACAAAGAAACTTTGGGTTATCCACAGATATTCGGGGCCTTCCGGAAAGTAAAACCCACTCGATGGGTTCCCTCCGTGTACGTAAGCATATAAACGTAATGGATCCGTAGAAATTATTGCATTCCATATTCATACCAATTAAAAATTCCTCAGATGGTTCGGCCAATGGCCCATATGTATTATAGTTCCAGCAACTCTCAACCATATGCAGTGACATAGGCTGTGACAGAAGTACCAAAATAGTCTTTAGAAATAAATGCCTCTGCATTGTGGCTCATAAAAAATACCTGTTAATTATAAATGGAAGCCAACTCAGCCCAGTATCAGCTGAATGACATGAAGCTAATTTCTGAAACGCAGGGAGCTCGAGAACGAAACACAGTGGGTAAAGGCTTAATGGAGACGTAATAAGGTTAGGTCATGGTACTCTTACCTGCAAATTCCTGTGGTTTTCCATGAAATAAGTGGAGCTCACTGCAGTCCTGTGAGATTCCGAGTTTATAGCCCTCATGTTGGTTGGGCTTAAAAAGGCCAACCTACCACAAAAAGGAATGGAGTACAGATACATGCTATAACATAGATGAACCTTGAAACATTATGTCCCGTGACAGAAGCCAGTCACAAAAGGCCATGCATTGTATGATCCCATTTGTGTGAAAGCTCCAACACAGGCAAATCCGTAGAGACAAAAAAAATGGATGAGTGTTTGCCAGGGCTTGGGGAGTAACTATTGATGAGCAGGTGTAACGGAAGTGTTCCAAATTTACGTTGTGGTGATTATTGTGAAAAGCCATGAATGCACTCAAAACCACTGAGTTGTAAGCTTTAAAGGGTGAAATTTTATGGCAGGTGAATTATATTTCGATGAAGCTGTTATTAAAGGGGAAGAAAAAAAGGCCAACCAGGGTGTGGTATTAAGTGAAGTCTAGGAATGGGAAAGGATGAGCCAAGACCAAAAAAGACCAAAAGGCCTGATCGCGACCAAAATCCTTAGAAGAGCTATACTGGACCTCTCCGCTCCTGGACAGGCTTCCACAATATCATCCAGAATCATTCTCCGACTCCATAGTTTTCATTGCCAGGATCCAAAGGGCCACGGTCTTCAAGTTACTAAGATGTTGGCGTTCCCTCTCTTTCTTTGTTTCTTTTCACCCCCTCATTGGATTTCCTAGTAATTTTCAGTCAGGTGGAGAGGAGTCCGCTCTGCTTGTGCTGTTCATTATGGAAATTGCTTTGACCCTCATTTGCATCTATTTGCACTGCCATCAAGCTGATTTAGAATCCGAGGGTGGTTGCAACCTCCTCCGAAGCTGGCAGATTTGCTCTAAAAACAGAACCCTGGAACTTTCCAACCAGCTCCGAAGAACTTGTTCTCTTGCCCTTTTGATTTCTGCACGATATGGGAAGAGTTTCAGAGAAATACAACTCGTGGTGAAAGAAAGAAAGGAAACCTTTGTTGCCTCCTGCTATAAATAGCCTCCATTCCCTTGCCTTCCCTTCATGCTACTAGCCAACCCTGCAATCGTGGGTTGCACATCAGAAATAAACACATTGGTCTGTGGAGCCAGAGGCCCCAGGCGAGCTTGCAGGCTGGCAACTGGCAGCACAGGAGTTAAATCTTAAACAATCCAGCATGGCAATTATCCCTCCTGCACTGACCCATGGGTTCCTCACTAGCCCCGGGAAGTGCAGTCCTGCTACCCTAGCCAAGGAGCCAAGGGGAGTGATCAGAAACTAGGAGAGTGCAGACTTCACCTGGCTCAGACATTCTGGCCTCTCTGGTTTCCCTTTGCCTCTACAGCCCTGGGCTGGTTCCTTGCTTTCCATCCGATTCTTCCTCTCGCCTGCCCTGTGCGGGCCTCGCGTGTGTCCAGCCGCAAACACCATCCTCACCTTCCCTGTGCACCTGTGCGCTCTTTTATTGTCCGAATGGAAATCGCTTTCTTGCTGTTTATGATGTAAACTGCTGAATTCTCATTGTAAAAAAAAAAAAAAAAAAATCAGTTTACATAAAAAGGGAAGTAAGAGGGCACAAAAATTAGCCACGCTCTCACCGCTCAGAGAAATTCACCCATACTGCAAGTGTAGAGTCTTCAAATTCTAAGAGAATGTGTTTTAAATGAAACCTATGAGACATATCTATTTTTCACTTAGAAATCCATCTTGTGCATTTTTCATTTCAATAAATATAGATCTACACTACCATTTTTAGCAGTCTCTATAAATGTATCCATAATTTGCACACTTAGTCTGTTTCTTCTTGATTCATATCTATGTATATATATATATATATATATATATATATATATATCCATAGATAATATACACATTCACAGTTTTTTTCTTAGTCCCAAATTTATCCACGAGGCCCTCCTTCTACCCTCAAGCTCAGTCACACCTGACATCTGGGCCTCCTGCTGCCCCAAACTGTCTGCTCATCAGAAGTTACCCATCCTAGGCCTTACTCCTCAAGACCCTATGCTACTTGATGGTAAATAGAGAAACGTAAGGAACAAAGTGAGTTAATGGGTTAATTGGTACAGTGGCTTTTATCTGGTGTCAACGGATAACTGGAGCAGGAATGGCCTTTAGAAATAATCTGATTTGTCATTTTCCTAACTTGTCAGTAGAGTGTAGGGGTGAGAGAGGTATAAAAAAATTCACCGGTCCCTCCTCCAGAGAGTTCAACATATGATTTGTCTGGAATGGGGTCTGGAAGACTGTCATTCAGCAAGCTCTTCATGGGATCATTTTGATCAGTAACATTCTAGAAACTCTGATTTTATTCAATATCTTTATCATTCATGTGAGGTCACAGAGGACTAAATAGATCTGGATTGTCACGTCTACATGGACAATTGGCAGTGGGACTGGAGGTATTGTCTATATTTCCCCATCCCTGAGCCCATCATTATTTTGTTGCACAAGACCATCTTATTCCAAAGAAAAATTTTATTAGAACAAAGGACTTCTAAATATAATACTATAATAGGAAGGATTTGTACCTGTTACACAGTGACAATTCTGGAACTCAAAGTGGGCTAAAGGGAGGTTGACTTTGAGTCAAGGAAGGGATCTTTTATTGACACTCAAACCCGTATCTTGCAAATGACTGTTTGCATGCGTGTGCGGGTGTGTGTGTGTGTGTGTGTGTGTGTGTGTGTGTGTTGGTCTTAGGGAAAATATTGGAAGTCAAACATGATTACAGAACCCATAGTATAACAATAAAGGATAAAGACCTATATCTAGAAGTATCCCCAGTGGTGGGGGAAAAAAATGCCGGTGCTAATGCAGAAAGACTGGATCTAATCAAAAGCAACGATTTCCTTTTACTTGAGTCTATCTTCATCCATGAAGACCTGTTTCAGCAAGATTTTCAACTTTCATTGGAAACATGTGTTATACAGGACACACAGAGACAGAAAGAAGACTTCTCAAGGCAATCTTCAATAGGAAGCTACTTACCTACTCTGGTGGCCAGCTCAGTCATGGTGTTCATGGATAATGGGTATCCGACAGGATTCTTTAATCCAAGACCTAATGAAAATAATAAAGGTGATGATTTACATCATCCTAGCCTCATGGAATAGGAACAGTCATGGACACCTTCCATTTTCCTGGCAGACAGTAGTTCTTCCAGCGGGTACAGCTTCAGATGGTACATTCTGCTGTCTGCACTGTGTGGCAGGGGAAACAGCCGTATTGATTTGCATGGCTCCTGTTATGGGTTGCATAACTCCTCAAAATTCATATGTTGAAGTCCGAACCCTCCTGCTACCTCGCCATGTGACCTGATTTGGAAACAGGGTCATTGCATATCCAATGAGTTAAGTTAAATGAGGCCACAGTGAAGTAGGATGGGCCTTCACTGCAATATGACTGGTGTCTTTATTTAAAAAGGGGGGAACTGTGGACACAGAGACAGAAATACACACACAGCAAGAATGTCGTGTGAAGATTGGAGCTATATGTCACAAGCCGATGAACTACCCGAGCTAGAAGAGGCCTAGAACAGATCCTTGCTAACACCTTACCGTTGAACGGTTGGCCTCCGAAAATAAATTTCTGTTTGTTTCAAGTACTCTGTTTGTGGTACTTTGTTCCAACAGCTCCAAAAAACTAGTATAGTACCCTTCAGAACACAGCCTCCACCAGATGACAGTTTTTAAGGCAAGAACAACTCAACAATGGGCTTATCCTTGTAATATTTACTAGTGTGGCCACACGAAAGCTTAATAATTTGGAGAGCCTAATGCCAAAGGAGGAACACCTGAAACAAAGTACTTACTAACCTTGATTCTCTTTAAATAGAAGCTGATTCTTCCCCTTTGCCACTTCAGGCTCCTTATGTGGCTGCACCAATAGGCAGAGAAAGGTCACTGTACCTGCAGCCATGATTGATCCTGGGTCACCGGATTGTTGCTATCAAAGAGTACAAGAAGGGCTGTATATGGAACATAGGATGTCTCCTGGACGCCTCTAAATGCTCCCTTGCCTCAAAGTACTAATGATTGGAAAACTGGATCAACCCCCTTCCCAAACACAGACACACACACACACACACACACACACACACACACACACGCACATTCTTCCTAAAAGACCCCTAGGGAAGCAAAATTATGGGAATGAAGGCTCAGGTCACCACTTTCCCCGCTGAGGTGCTGCCGCAAGCTACAAGGAACTGGAAATGTATGGTAGGAAGGGATAGTGATGATGATGATATTGATAGCAGCATGACCAGCTTCCAAAGCCTGATTAAATATGATTTTTTACTTTTTCTCTTTCCTCTGCTACATATTTTATATGATGACCAGGAACTAATGTTTTAAGTTTCAGGTAGAAGGATGAAGGAATCCATGTTACTCCCCATAATAACACAGTAGTGACTTTGTCTCCTGTGTTTGGGCCATAAGTTTTGAAAGGGACAAAGGATAAGACCAGTTGTCAAGATACCAAAGGGATTGACTGTGCTAATTATAATTCCCTTGTGTCTTTAGATATGCTCACTACTCTTCCTCACCCTGCCTCTTGCCTCAGGAGGATGACTTATAAATGTTACATGAATAAATTCTCATCTCTCTGGGTTCCTGTTGACATCTTCTTCACTATGGTTCTCTCAGATGAAACGAGAACGGTGGGACTAATTAAATGAGAACAGTAAGGACTAACTTGATTACCTCTTCCTGGGACAAAACTTTGCCTTTGAGTATAATGCTGTAAGACAATAGAGTCTATTATCGATTCAATTCAAAGTTTTGGTAGAATATGAATTGGTAAAAAGACTCCGGGTAGGGAGTAGTCCAGATGTTTTCCACCGATTTTCATTTTTTCACTAGGATCCTTCCCACTGTCACCACATGGGGATTTCCCTTCCAGAACTCTTTCTGGTAAAAACATTGTTGGGGGATTCTGTGCTTGACATCTGTAACGGAGGAAGTAGCTGGACCAGACAATAAACACTTTGTGAAAGGTGCTGTTGAGGAGAAAATAGTCCAAACCCATTTACACAACTGTGACACCATGCTTCTGAAAAACATGTTTTTTTGGTAGAACTTGGTGGTCAATTTTTTTCCTACCTGTATTGAGGTATACAATTTACACATAATTTTAGGTGCACAGCTTTACACATTCTGACAAACCGACATAGTCATGTTACCACACAAAAGCCAAATTGTAGAATATTTCCGTCACCCCCAAATATTCCTTTGTGTCCCTTTGGACAAAATCCCCTTTCCTCAATTTTAGTCCCTGACAGCCTGTGATCTCATGTATGTCCTTCTATCTTTGCCGTTTTTAGAATGGTATGTGAGGGGGATCATACAGTATTGTGGCCTTTTGAGTCTGCTTTTTTCATTTAGCATAATGTTTTTTGAGAATTACCCATTCTGTTCCAGGTTTGAGTACTCATTTCTTTTTTATTGCTGAATAAAACACTTATTAGAGCATTTTATTGTATCATACGCTACAATATGTATCTGAATTATACCTACAATTTGGTGGATAATTGAGTTGTTTCAAGTTGTTGACAATTATGAATAAATCCACTGTACACATTCACATACACGTTTCGTATCTTCATTTCTCTTTGGTGAATATCAGAGAATGTATTAATGGGTTGTATGGTAAGTATGTGCTTAACTTCCTAAGAAACTTCCAGACTGCTTTATAAAAAGCTACATCATTTTCAAGTGACATTAGAGTTCTAGTTTCTCCACATCATTACTGACATTGGTTATTGCCATTTTTTATTTTAACAATTGGGTTCTGGTTGTTAGTTTTTTAATGTTTTTATTTATTTCTGAGACAGAGCCTGAGTGGGGAGGGGCAGGGACAGAGGGAGACAGAGAATCCAAAGCAGGCTTGGTGCTATGAGTGTAGAGCGCAACGTGGGCCTCAAACCCACAAACTGTGGGGTCATAACCTGAGCCGAAGTCAGACGCTCAACCAGCTGAGCCACCCAGGTGCCCCAGTAATTGTGTACCAGTTCCAGTTTATGTTTCTCTAATAGTGAACGCCGTTAAACATTTTTTCATGTATTTGTCATCTGTGTATCTTCTCAAATGAACTGTAAGTTCAACTATTTTGCTTATTTTTTATTGGGTTGTTTCTTTCCTTATTATTGAGTGTTGAGAGTTCTTTATATAGTATGATTACTCCTCTTTACAAATTATTGCCTTTAAGAATATATATATTTATTATATATATACATTTAATATATACATTAAATGTGTACACACACACACACACACACACACACACACATAATTCCTTTACATAACGTTGCAACCCCAAGGAAAGAATCACCTCCTAACTCTTTTATCACCTTCTGAGGATCATTCATTTCAAGCAATTATACTTCTTCTGTTATGCCCAGAATTCGTGATCCCCAAAGACCACACCAGCTAGCTTGAGCTCAATCCCCTACCTGCACCGGACACAGCGGTGAGATACCAGGAAGAGAGAGCGAGTTTCAAAAGCACAAAGGTTTTATTGGGGCCTAGGGGCAATTGGTGAGGTAATGGCTGTGGCCTCAGCGATTGGCTGGGGAAGGGTCGGAGTCCTGTTACGCAGGTTGCTGGGTGTGTTTTGATCAGGAAGTTTGCAGGGTTGAGCGGGAGGTTACTCAAGGGGAGGAGGTGTGGTGTAGGTGAAGGACACAGAACGAGATGGAGTCGGCTGTTGTAGGCCCGCCCTTTCACTTCCTCAATCTTTTAATCTTAAAATGTTGATCTTGCGTTGCTTTAAAAGTTGTGTGAAAACTACTCACTCCGTCTCCCGTAAAAATCTGCATATATACAAATTTTTGCATGTCCTTTTTGGAGTCCATAAGATACCTGCTCCTGAAGTTGCGCGTGGACCACAAAGCAGGACCCCGGGCTAGAAACTTACGTGTGCAGTCTGTTAATGTCAACTTGGATCAGTATAATTATCTTCCTTCTTTATCTTAGGTGAACTTAAGCTATTGAATGATGCAGGATAAGGCATGCAACTGTGCAAATTAATGCACTAAAGATATACTTTCATCCCTTTTTGCAGGGTCTGTGCAGCTGCACAATATTTTTTTTATTAGTCTCTTTAGTTCTATTTTTAACGCCCACAGAAGCCAGTTGACAAATGTTCTTTATCACCTGTATCCCCTTCACTCTTTCATCCTGCTACCTACTCCACTGAAAAATAGAAGAAATCGGGTATAAATAAGTATCCCCACTTAATTTAAACTTAATCTAAACTTAATTTAAACGTAATTTAAAGAATGCACCTCCATTCTTCCTTTGAATCTCCGAAAGAGATGTAACTTTCTTGCAGCCAATGTTATTCCTTCCCTTTGGGCTCCTGGTGCTACTCTATCCTAGACCCCATTTTTGCAAACAGCTCCTTTACCTGTGTTATTCATGTCTCCCCCTTAAATTGCTATTCGTTCTCAAGATTTCAACATTTTTTTTTTCCCATTGGAAAAGAGAAAAAAGCTCCCTCAACTGTGGAGCCCACTTCTCACCCCTCCCCATACTCTACCCCATGCATTTCCTTTGTTTCACAGCCAAGCAGAGACAAATACTTTACACTCGCTGTCTCTAATGGTTCCATTTCTCACATCACTACAAACTCTCTAGCATCCCCAACACTCCATTAAAATTGCTTTTTACAAGCAATAAATAATTTTCCAAATGGTCTAATTACAAAGAAAAAAAACGAATTGGTTATTTTCAATTATTATACCTGTCCTCTGGGAAATATTTGTTATTGTTGACTATTTCCTGAAACTCATTTCTCTCTTGTCTTCTGTAGCAATACTCTCTCCAAACTTCTCTGTTATGTGTCTATGTTGTGGGTCTCCGACCTCTTGTTCTAACAAGTACCACTGTGATAGTGATCCTCTCGGGTCTCTCTGTTAAGTCTTTTTTTCTTTTTACTCTCACTCAATTGCTGAATGACCAAACTGCATGATATTTTCGACTATTGCCTACCTACCTATAAATCAATGAACCAAAACTCTTGATCACTTTTAGGAATTCTCCAAAAAAAAAGAAAGAAAA